AGGACTGGGAACAAAACGTATAATCAAACAAAGCTATAACAAGATTATTATGGAGAATCTAATTTCAGATTTCCACTTTTTGCAAAATTCCAATTCAATCTGAGAGAAATTTTTGATACTTATAAAATCAGACTGGAAATAAATATGAAAAAAGGACACATGACCAAAATTAGTTTCTGAGGGAGTAATCCATTAGTGTATGTAATAAATGTATATTTCTGAGGAAAAAAAATTTAAAATTCAGTTGAAATCATCCAATATATAAGTTTATGTGTATATCAATAAGGACATGCTAGACTGCATATGATATTCTAATGTATATTTTCACAATTTGGTCTTTTAAATTATTAATGCTATTAGGACTTCTCACTTTTATCCTTTATTTTATACAAACTCATTGTTTTCAAGTGTATTTTTACTTTATGGATCTTGGAAGGGAGCTACTAGGGTCAGGTATTTATTCCTTTTCAATTTCCTCATCTGCAAATTAGGGGCAAAGTTGACCAAATTGGAAAGATGGTGTATGTTAGTATCAGATAAATACAGTTAGGAAGAAATACAAAAAGTAGGTATTTCCCTAAGATGTGAACCATTTAGTCCTATTTTTTAAAGTACAAATTTTTCAAGGTCATTTTTTTTAAAAGCCTATTGGTTATGAACTGAGGCATCACCAACCTGAATTGTATGTTTCCTCTGTGCCTTTGAGAAACATAATGGAAACACTGAACAAAAAGGGAGTGAGGGGGAAGGAACTAAGGAAAGGGCACTTTTCCTCCGAAGAGCTTGAAGTCAGATGGATTTCAATACAGAAACGGCAAATTGCAGAAATGTTATGGAAGAAAAGGAGCCACATTACAGATACACTGCAACAATGAAGTAAGAGGTTCCTAACTATAGCACTTCACTTCCTCCATGTTACCTGGTTAGATAGTACCCAGTGCATTTTTCCTTAGAAATGGGGTTGCAATTCTGATAATGAAGCCAATCCTGCTTAACTGTAGCTGTATTACATCTTCTCCTGATCTTAGTTATTGTCTAATTTAG